CTTCCATTAAGTTTTTAACAGGTGTCTCATCCATCTGTACGTCTACACAATCTTCTTAGCAAGTGGCTTTTTTGAGCCTTTCCAAAGCATCCTCCTTAACTTCCAATACAAAAGTGTCTCTCCACATCCACATCTCATTAGTTCTTTCTGCTTTAGCCCAATCTCCAAATCACGCTGGAGGTGTAGGGAGCATGAACAGGTTTTGGGCCCCAGCACCATCTCTGCCCCCAATGGCTTCCATGGATGACGAGTCAGCACATGGGAGCCAGATGCAAGACGTTTGCTGCATGTGAACTGATGCTGTGGCAGAGGCTCCTCTCTGCCCTGCACCAGGGGCAGCTCCCTGGGAGGCACCAAGGTGGAGCTGATTTCAATCAGCTGTGGTGAAATTCAAGCCCAAATCCTTTCTAGTAGATGCTGAGGACAAAACTCTCACATTGCAAAGTCTGATTATAAATTCGGCCTCTCCGGCTTCTTCCTGGCAACTCGGGCCATGGTATTTATCCTCCTCTCACCTTCAGTCCCCTGGAAGCTCTACCCACAGTCCAGTTTCTCTGTGGAGCCTTGTATATATAACCAAGCTCCCTCCCCTGACCTTCCAGACGTGACATCCACTTTCCTGACTCGGTGTCCACTTCCCTGATGAACTCTAGTGGCCCAACAGCCCCAGCACCAGGCTTGCGCTCCTAGAGAGCAGAGCCACTGACATCCTTGGTGTTTCACTGCCTTAGGGCAGCATGATGTTTTGTCCAAGAGGGGATCTACACAGGGTGGATGAGACTGTGACACGCTGATCCCTGCTTGTGTCAACAGTGAAGACTGGTTGAATGATAGGTATGTGTTACAGAAGGATTTATTTCACTTCATTATCCTCTTCAAAATAAACACCATGGTCTATTTTACTCAGATGTCAGAAAACTGGGCGGCGCTCACTAAGTCAGAACCTCTAACTGAACATGGGGATCTGGAACTCCATGGGCTATGGGGTCTGGCCACCCCAGGTCCAGAGTTCAGACCTGAGCCAGGTTTCAGGGAAGGTCCAAGAAAAGCCTCTCCTTCCATGTAGACAACGTAATATCTGAGATGCACAACACTCTTCCTCCTCGTAGACCACACAATGTCTAGACATACAACACTCTTCCTCCATGTAGACAGTGCAACAACATTTGAAACACACAACACCCTTCCTCCATGTACATGATGCAACATCTAGACACACAACACTCTTCCTCCACGTAGATCACGCAATGTCTAGACACACAGCACCCTTCCTCCATGTGCATGATGCAACATCTAGAAACACAACACTCTTCCTCCATGTAGACCACGCAATGCCTAGATGCACAACACGGAGGACAATGCAGCAGAGAAGACTCTCCCAGTCACGTGCCAACTTCGTGGAGATGTTCCCCAAGTAGAAGCAAACAGAGCTTTGAAAAAGTCATCATGTTCTTTGAATAAGGAGGTGTCTATTATTTGAAATGACATAGGGTGTCTCTCCAACAAGCCAAAGGGAAAAATGGAAGCCAAATTTCAAGTCTTAGAGGCTTTGCTCATATGAATGAAGTGTAAGACACCAAGACCAAAGGAAGAACAATAGCTCAGGATAGACTGCCTTGCTGGTGCACAGCCAATAAATGAGCTGCACACACCCCTACATGGATGCCCAGCAGAGCCAGAGAAGAGAAGCCTGAAGAAACACCCCGAACTCAAGTCCGAAGGAAATGCCACAGAGTGTGCAAGGTAACTATTGGGGATACATCACAGGCAGCCCACAAGTAGGGATTTCTACTGAGAGAGAGGGACAGCAAAAACAAATACTTTTTTTCTAAAATGATTAAATTTTAGATGATTAACATTTTCTTTGAAAGAAGCAATGCAAAAATTGCTTAGAAATAGACCATCTAAGAATACATTCCCAAGAAAATAAAGACTAAAAAAAGGATTTTTCTGATCTGCCCAGTTTGACTAGATGACTTGGCCACAGAGATTAAAAGTAACTACCAGTCATTTCTGTATAATTTGCAGTACAGTAAGTACCTCCTGATGTAATATCCACTTATTTTTAATATTCACTAATACCTTATGCTCATACTTGAGGTCATAAATTAGGCAGAATTCCCAGAAAAGAGTCACCTAGGATAAGGAAGAGATCCTGAATAATGAAAAGCAGCTGCGTTCATCATTCAATATAAATACCACATGATGTTTGATGGGGACTAATGTGGTATTAACTATACGCCTATTCATTAAGTTTTGTATCATTTTGTGTAAAATTAGCAAAATGAATGCCCTTTAAATGCTATTGCCAGGGTTATGTCTCCCTTCATTAATAATAACAAAGCACGTCTGCAGTGTTGTGTCATCAGGCCCCTTGAGGCAACCAGATGCAAACAGTACTTGGGTCTCCAGGCAGCTTGCATGTGGCCGCAGCACGTGAGATTTCCAGTCATGGTAACAGAGAACTCTATTAAGTACTGCACGCTGTTGATGGACACAGGAGGTCTCACTGCGGTCTTTCCAAAACGTGTCTGCTCCAACAATAACATTAGGTCATTTGCAACGGCGCTATTAAGATCCCACAGTATCTTTTAAAACTAGAAGTCACAAGAAACTCCTTTCAAGTTTGAAATTCTTTCCTTGCTAGCAAGTGAGCATGTCCACCTCTCGTGTGGACACTGCCACTGAGTGAGAGGTTGTTCCTCTTCATGGTACTAGCCACCAATCCAAGGCAGATTTGAACCAGTATCCACTACATTTGGGCATTTCTACTGTCTATAAGATCCTTATGGTCATAAATTTTCATAATCCTTTCCCTATATATCACCAGGTATATTCATAACACCATGGAATTATTCAAAATATAAAAAGAGCTATTTTTTAAGTCATGTATGTGTGTTAACAATTCTGCACATGTACAACCAGCAAGCAACATCCTAGCTGGTACAGTCACAGTAGTTAATATAAATGCACCAGTGTAAGTTAGCAAATTTGAGTATCTAGGAAGTTGTTGATACGAGAACTTAATGCAACTTCCCCTTGACATAGCATTTTGCTATGTAACATGAATACATGTTAAACGACCAGGAAACTAGATTTCAAATAATCAACTTCATTTTCTCTAGAAAGCTATAAAATACATGAAAAGCCTTTGTCTGTGAGTACATTTTCATAATTTTTTTTTAAAAAAAGATTCAAAGACTGCATTGCATTCCATTTTATTACACCCATAGCATCCTTGGGGGATTACTTCCCAAAAGTATTACTTCCCAAAACAGGAGTGAATTGCCAATTGCAGAACACTTGTTAGTGCATTTCTGCATGAAACCCTGTTAAGTGATTTGGTCTTAAATACATTCAAGAAATCACTTATGCTGAGGAACTAGTATAAGTAAGATAGGTGCTGCTGGGGAGGGACACAGCCTGGAACCCACAAAGAGTTAAAGCCATTATTAGTGACATTTCTGTTCTTTTTAGGTGACAGGGTATTTAGAATGAAACCCACTGATTTCCTTTTGCTGGGAACATATTAAACTGCTCAGCTAAAGTAATGATTCTGGGCTGCTTTGCCAAGTTGTATCCCAAGCTCCAAATGCCTTACAATGAAATACAGCGATAAAATGAAGTCCAGGGCTTCCACTCTCTACAAAGCTTAAACCTCTCAGACTTCTTGAGGTTAGTACAACTTTGCAAAGAATTATTTCTTAATCCAAAATTCTTACCTGTTCCCCAAAATCTCTACCTTTGGCAAAGAAGTTAATAAGGGCACAAATATATCCTGTAAGTCAAACCAACGGCCACCAGCATAGATAAGACTAACACTTTATTCCATTACATAGGATATGGCAACTCTGTTATATCTTATTTACTGTCACTGGATAAAGAAACTTTATGTTAATGGGATGTTGATACAGTGAAATCTCAATTAATGAGCACTAAATATCCAAATCTCTAAATCAACCAGAATATTTTTGCTACATTCTGCACTGAAAAAAAGACATACTCATACATTTCAGTTAAAAAACAATAGTTCATATATTTGTCAGTATAAAGGATTGTCTAAAACAAAGAGTCATTTTCTTCTGTGTCTGGGGTCAGTGCATTCAGCCACATCTCTGAACAATGATTCTAGAATACGAAAGAGTCCTGCCAGCTGAGTCATCCTAATCTGCTCAAAACCATCAAGCTAAGGTTCTGTTTATTGTATTCTTCTAGCTAGACAAGAGGAATGAGCAATACACTTTACAAGAGTTTTCAATAAGCTAAAAAAAAGAAACATCAGGTGTAGGAGAATGCAAAAATTGTGTCTGCCACGCCATTTTGTTCCTCAAGACTCTAGTTAGTAAAGTTTTGTGTTTTCCACTCAGTGACAATCACTGATCATATAACAAAGATTGCTCAAGCTCTATCAGGAAATAGGTCTCAAAAATGTGTGACTAGGAACACCAAAGAAACTGGGATCTAAATAGTGAAACAATCTAGAAGCTGCTCTATTTTTATTTAAATCTCCCAGATCCTGTGCTCAATCTCCATCAGCAATGGATAGGAGCTGAGCCAGTGTGTGTTCCTGGTCTAGTATAAAATGAAAAATCTCAAAACAAAATTGCATTTCCTCTGTTCACGCAAGGGTTATTAGAGACCAGGTCCTTGCTCTTCTAAAAACCAGAATTTCCCTCTGTCACACACAGCCCCATGTCTTCCATCTTCTCTCTGAGCCAGGTCCATACATCATGATAATCTGTTCCCTCTCCAAACAACCAAGGCCCAAGCAGTGCTCGAAGATGGCCATGTCACCCTGCAGCAACTCAGTAAAACCCTCTCATCTCCACAGCAACACCCGCTTTCTGGGGAGACTGAACTTTCTTCTGGATTGCTTCATACTGTGTGTCTCTCTTTGCTCTCTGTGAAGAAAGTGTGTGTGTGTGTGTGTGTGTGTGTGTGTGTGTGTGTGTGTGTGTACACACGCGCATGCAGGAGTGCGTATGTAGAATCAGTCTTACCTGTGGCCTTTGCGACATCTGCAGTGGTCACGTTTTGGGCATTGATGTTCACTTTGAAAGTCACTGCTGGACCCAGAATCCTGGAAGAGATCATTTAAAGATGAGTTCATAACTGAGTTAATACATCACATGGCTTCTCTGATAATGACATGGAAAATGCTGATATGCTCAGGAAAACACATGTATCCAAGGTCACTGTGTTCTCCAGGTGTGACCTCTGCTGGGTGCTGGCTTTCTTTCACACTGTGACCCTTTGTTTCCATTTTCCAGCAATTCTGTTTCACAGGCTTTGCTTTTCTGAAACATACACTGCTCCTATCATAAAAAAATTCAGATCAACCCCAATAACCCAACAATAGCAAGCAGATACTCTTGCAAAGTAAAAAGAAAAATTGTTATGGAAACAGAATTTAGTATTTGGTCCCCAAGGGAGCTGCATGAATCAAGAGCAAAGAGGAAAGAGACTAGTATTTTTTAAATTCTCTTGACAGGACCCATTTAGAGAAACTACCAAAGTCATTAAGAACTATTCAGTATAAAAACGACTGGTGGGGAATTGCTAGACAGGAATTATCAAAATTGTTTGAAGTTTTTAAAATACCATGCTGAACACAGTTTTAAAAAATACATCCCTTTTTTAACCATTTAATTCATATGAAGACCCCATATGCTGTAGGAACTGAATGTTGTACCTATAGCAATCTCAAATTGGAACAGGAATTTTGGGCCTCAGAAACAGATGGACCCTTCTGCACAGATGGCAGCCATAGGTAGCTTTTCATGGAACAGACCACCTTAAACATCTTGTAAGAGGTGAATCACCCTAACAGACAAGAAATGGAAATAGCCGGCCAGGCACAGTGGCTCACACCTGTAATCCCAGCACTTTGGGAGGCTGAGGTGAGAGGATTGCCTGGCAACTTGGTGAGACCTTGTCTCTATAATACACCAAAAATAAAAATAAAAATAAATTAGCCGGGTGTATTGGCACACACCTGTGGTTCCAGCTACTTGATTTCAGGTCGAGACAGCGGTAACTGTGAGCATGCCACTGCACTCCAGCCTGGGAGACACAA